GGCTTGAACGTTTGAAGTTCCATTTGCTTTAGATTTGTTTATTGCCAGTCTTCAAGCATAGCCCATTGACTAATAAGAAATTTGTCATACAAATTTTATGTACCCCTCTACGGGGCTGTATCTTAACAAGGAATGCTCCGATGAAGTTTCTTTATATGAAAGATCCTATCTTTTTTTCGATGAGAAATCACCTCCTCAAATGTTTTACACTTATTCAGTTACACCCGGTATAGTGGAGGTTATTTTAGAGGCACACGTAATATTGAGAAATTCATGTTTATTTCTGTTTATAATTTGACATTAAGTATATACAATATTTATATTTTCACCTGATGTTTCTACTACAGAGAAACAAAAATAGTGCTGTTCCAAATTATTCACATCAGTATTTAGTATAAAACATTTTTCATGATGAAGTAAACATTATCTGAAGTGGAAAATAAACGGGTGCTGATACTCCAGAAAAATTGGGCAAACTACTGTTTTGTTAAACAATATTTCAAGTGATTTGTTTTTTGTGGTTTCCGTAGGATATTCAAGATATTCAAAATAAATGCATTATTCAAAAAAGTCCTCTTTGTTAGTTTAGATGTTCAAATGTTTATCAGAGCTGGTTTTCCATTTGGATCACCTACTCTAGTTGAATTGCTTATATTTTGTTTGGGTATATTCGTGGGACAAATGTAAAGCCTCTGAAGTTGCATCTCCTTTAGAATAAGTATCTGAAAGTTTTTCAATTTTATTCATTTTGATTGGGCTATCAAAAACGTCGTTAAATGAAACCCCTCAACTTTGTTCACCAGCATTATATTGTGACACAACCCTTGTAGTTAACCCCAAATTAATGTAATTCAAGACTAAGTAGTGAACTCCTAAAAGAACTTCTTGTAAATAAATTAGGATATACTTACTGGGATTACGTCTTTCATAAATAAATTAGAATTTCAAAAATTAACAAGGATGTGTAGATCATGCAGAGAATTGAATTTCAGACACATATTGGAAGATAAGCCCTCTCGAAACATCTACTTTCATATAAACATCGAATTATACGAAAGAAACATACATTCGAAACAAATTATTTTATGTGAACACTAAATTATACAAAAATACGTTTCTCTATTCAATTTCAATTGCAAACCTTCGTTATGGAACTGAATCAGATATCACTCACAGGATTGCCACACAATAAAGTAAATGAAAGAGGTAAAATTACATGAAATAATGTCATTCTCACTAATTGACATCCGATGTTAAGGATTAAAGCACTTGCCTCATCGCTTCTTCAGCACCAAATATGGTTAGAGGTTAGGTCGAAAGTGAGTGGGTCTATTCGTCCTTTCACCACAACTCGCAAGGGTTTATTGTGGCTCACACCTGTTCAAACTCGACCAAATAATAATAATAATCGACTTTATTCAGTATTTAATATTACATAGTAGGCGAAGTTTAGCTATTAGCTACTCTTACACTCAACCTAATATGCATTATAAGAAAAAAAATTAAAAATAACTGGATCAAATAAAAATAGATTGTGTGATGGAACAAATTGTTAGGAGTATACAACAAGATCATAGTTTAATGTATACGTTTAATTCTTTTGATCACATATTGAATTTTGCTTTTAGTTTCTTTTTGAATGTGAATTTCGAGAATTGCATGAGATCCTTAGTAATCGTAATATGAAAAAATACAGTAAGGAAGGAAAATGATTTTCTGAACATGGCTGACGAATGACGAGGGATGTGTAAGTTTTCGTTACTTCGAAGGTTGAAAGGATGGAGCTCTAACCTCTTTATCAATTTATTGAATAGAGAAACAGGTATTTTAGATTTCAGTACTGAATAGGTGATATTGCAGTAGTTATATTCCCTGAGGACACACAAGAACACAAGAATTTTGCACACGTTGTATTTTGTATTGATTAGCGGAATCCAAGAAGGGACCATAGACAGGGTCTCCATGGTTGATTTTCGAAAGGATAAGCGATTGTGAAAGTAGCTTTTTTGTGCTGAAGGACAAGTTCTGTCTATATGGATAAAGAACTTTGAGAGTGGCATAGGATTTGATCATAAGCTGTTTCACATGTGCTTCTTGACGAAGCCGATTAGTTTATAATGGTGAGTGATCATTCAGGTCAGATGGTAGAAGAGTGGTTCCACCAAACTCTGAAAACCTGATTCGGTCCCCAGCGGGGCAGGTACAAAGTGTGTGCTCTGCTGTTTCATCATTTTCCAAACAGAGGAGACACACACTGTCTTCCAACAGACCGAGTCTCTGCATATAATGATTCAGACGACAGTGACCTGGAAGAAGGCCTGTTAGGCATCGTAGTTCATTCCTACTGTAGTCCAACAACTGTTTGGTTTCAAGCTTCGAAGGGTGAACGAACGCCTTGCAGTGAGGTAATCCTGGAAGATTTTGCCAAAAATCTTTAAATATTCTTGCCATCCAGGTGTTCAATGTTTATTTGGCAAAACCTAAAGCAATGCCAATGACAGGTTCTGGTCCGATGAAGCTGCTTGCAGCACCCTCCTTTGCATGGGAGTAAGAAGTATCATTGCCTTCCAGGCCTGTATGGCCAGGAATCCAGACCAGAGACGATTTATTAAGTCTTCCTATTGTGGAGAGTAGTATTGGCAATGGTTGGCAATGATAGGAGCCAAGAGCCTCCAACGCTGCTTGACAGTCCGAGGAAATTTTTTATTGATTTGTGTGTGAGTTTGAATTCTAACAATATCTTCGCACACAATTCTATAGAATTTCCGCTTGAAATACAGTCACATAGGTCCCCAGGCAGGTTGATATCTCTGTCCTGGGTCTGCAACTGTAAACACCTGCACCAGAGCCCGAAGATGTTTTTGATTCATCTGTGAACCAACAACTATCTGGTCTTGAAATTTCCTTCTCTTGGAGAATCCAATCCCCTCCACTCGGAAAAAGGCATAACGTCAAAAGTCATTCCCAGAATGATGTGACTTTCAGTGTCAGCCAGCAGTTTAGAGTACTCTGCATATAGATTGCTTTGTGCAATTGGCGATGTGCACAAGTCTATATGCAGTCCATCTAGCCTCTCTCTCCAGAAAGGTGTGGAGAGGAGGTAGTTCTAGAAGGATATCCATGGCTGCTGACCGTGTGGTATAATTAGCCAGACAACCCTGTCTCTTTAAGCTAAAAAGCTTCGCCTGATACGTTTTCTGTAAAGCCTTCGGCCACCAGGCAATTGCTCCATAAGTTTTATCACAAATTCTTCGACATGTCCATTGGGACAGTCTGGATTTGTGTAAAACTTTTTCCAAATGAGCGTTCCAGGTGAGTTTTTTATTAAGGACAAATATGCAGCTTCCATGTAATGATGTGTATATGTATAGATCAGAGAGATTCAATCGCTTCATTGCTTAACGGTATCATCATTGAACTCATTGACGTAACTCATGTTACGTCAATGAGTTCAAATCAAAATTAAAAATCTATATTATACAGTTGATTATCTGAAGATTTGCATCTTATAAACAAAATTGAAGAAAACGTAAATGTAAAGGTGAAATTAAATAGAAAAGAGATGTGATATTGATAATTATCATCTACATAAAGAATTAAATTTCGAAAAAATCCCATTTTTTTTTCGTAAACTATAATGGGGCATATCAGCTAACAAATTCGCCACTGCTTTTTGAAAATGAATATTACTAAGGTTTGCATACTCTATTTGATGGAAACTTTCTATTGCACCTAGCAAGCGATGTGTGTAAGCAAAGTTAAACTTTTATCTTATGTTCATAAACATATGTTTTATCTATGTTCGAAAGTAAACAATGCAGTGACTATTAAAATTAAATTGGTAGTGAAAAAAATTTAGACATACATCTCATAACCCCTTTTCTATAATATCAATAGGAAATATAAAAGGGTTGCTCTCCAAAATGGTGGTCGCAATTTGCGTGTGGTAAACCATTTCGTAGTTTGATATCCTAGTTCATTAGAAACCACTCACTCTTAATACCTGGAAAAAACTTTACCATTGAGCTGTTTGACATGTTCATCATTATTCAGCTTATTGTCGACAGACGAAAACACCAAAAAATCCTGTATGTCATTCGATTCATAAGGTATCCATTGTCGATTGGAAGTTAATAAAGTAAACATTTAGGTTAATAAACTACATCAAGTGTTTACTTTTTTATCAGGCTTTTATTAGCTTCACTAGTATGTTTGTTTGTAACCGACTCATTTGAACTCAATTTTGACTAACAGATGTATTTTAAACTTTATACAGTTATTAGGAATCGGTAACAATGCAATAATTTCATAAGTTTATCTCATTATCCTCATCAGGAATTCCAGGATTAAATAATTTCCTCACACAGTATATGTGTAAGAGCAAGTGAGACAATCACATTGTCTGCGCATGCGTATATATTTTATATTAAAACAAATGAGCTTGAAATAGAAAGCCAAACTATAAAGTAGAAAACAAATAATAAATTGAAAAACTAAAGAAACACGCTTATATTACAACACAAACTAAAAAATAGTTCGAAACTTATTCAAGATTGTGGATCCTATGGCTCGATGTAACTTATAACATTATAGAAAATACACACAATTCATTCATGAATTACGATTTTTAATGTGTCACGGAATAAGCTTGATCTGCTTATGTCATCGATGACATCCTAATGACATTCATTCACCATGATTTAATCCCAGCCAAGAGGAATCTTATTTGAATTGAAGGGGTTATATTTTCAGGAGTGGTTAATTTTTGGGAAAGAAAGTTTTTGGCTTTCTACCAAAGAAAGGAAGGAAGTAATCAATTCACCATTTATATATTTTTGAAGATTGGTTGCATAAATATTATAATATGATTTTTCGCCTACTGTTGATACATGGTTTACGTAAGGTAGTGTTTCGATTCCGGATAGTTTACCATCGCCATCCCCCGAACAACATCCCCATGTTTCTGTTACGATGCAGTGTCGCTATCCTAATCAGATCATCCACGATGATGTCTATCATGGGTTCATTTAACATGGAATCCTCTCAAATATCTTTGGTCATTCACAACAAGATTTTCATTGCTTGGAAGAAAACTGTTCAAAAAATTATCGCAACATTGCTTGGCATCGTTGAAATTGAAAGTAACATTTTTATTTGCCACGTTATTTGTTACATTCATTTTTATTTGGAGTTGAAAATGTTTTTTTCTCAACAAGTACCTTGTGTTCCAGTTTACTGTTCGAATGCATTTTCAAAGACAACGAATAACTCACAGTTCACCACACTCAGTGTAATTTTTCCACCTACTGTACGAACACGATGCCCACTAATCGAGTTCCTCGATGTTAATGAGCTCTCGCCCCACTCTGCCGGCTGATCTGCGCATCCAATATGCAGAGGCACACCTAGATTTGATGAGCTGTTCAACACGATTTTGTTAGCAATAAAGTTTTGTTTTCTGAAAAAATATCGTCATGAAGTCTACATTAAGTTTAGTTTAATTCAAATGGATGGGAACTCATCTTCATGAGCCACTCTGGATCCACCGCAGCAAATTGAGTGATTGATGTGAATGGTGTGTTTAATTTCTCTGGAGTATCGTGCATTCGTATTCGGGATAGTTTAAACATAACACAGCTGTGTCGATAGATGATAGGAATTTTTGTGATTTCAGCATCGAAGGCGGAGAACTATTCGAGAGAGTGATCGACGATGACTTCATTTTGACGGAGAAGAGCTGCACCATTTTCATGCGGCAGATATGCGAGGGCGTCGCTTTCATTCACAAACAAAGGATCCTACATCTCGACATGAAGGTGAGCAGGTCGAAACGGGTTCAAATCCGAGGATTTATTTTTCGTTAGAAACAGTATGTTGATGTCTACTATAAATCTCATAGATTATTTTCTCTTTTCTGAGTCTTCCCCAACGGTCAATCAATTACTAGTACAAGTACTAGTTTTCGATGCCTCCAAATTAGGTTTGAATGATAAATTACGGTTGGAAGATTTAAGTAAGATAAAATGTTTTTTCCGTTTACCAGATATCGCACCCCTACGAACGACAACCCTCAGAAGTCGAAACTTGTGCGAGCTAAAGACTAACGAGGTATTACCTGTTAACGTGTGATTCCTAACACATAAAAAATAAAATAGTGGACACTTGCTACACTTTCGTAGCAGAGCGTTGATATAATGAATAAGCCAAAATAAATAGGCAGTAAGATGAAAATTGGCCAACTGTTAACTTTTTGGTTTATCTTATTCTGTAAATTTCTCTAGACATGCATCATGCATCGAAACATCACGGTAGTTTGTAGATTTGGAAACCCCGATCTCCGACACTTGTTCAATTACAAAGTCATATCAGTAATTTTCTCTTGTAATTCCCAAAAATTTGAATGAAAAAAAATAAATAACCTGCCTATAAACCTAATTTTCAACTATCAGCTGGCGATAGTAATTTTTTTTAGTTTTCCTCTTATTTCTTTTATAAACTCAGGTGCCAACATTATTTCACTTCTCATTTCACTTTATTACTCAATCATAATTTTTCACGAACACCTTTAGATAAATGTCAAACTCATTTAAGTTTCAACAATTGACGTACAGTTTTGACGAAAGAGTTTTTAGAAAACTATATTGAAAAAATTATAAATTATAACCAAAATGTCAGTTGAAAAGTGAGCCATTGAACTCGCACCAGTATTTTGCAGACTTTTCAACATGTCTTACAAGAAAGGGGTTTTTCCTTCTTGTTGGAAGATTGGTCGCGTTCAGCCTATTCCCAGAAATGGCAAGNTAGATACAAAGCACAATTAATTCAATGCGGTGCTTTTTCTGTGTTTGTCAGCCTATATTTAAAAAGGATATAATTATGTTTCAGTGTAATGGAATATTCATGTTTGTTTTTATCATGCTTAAATTTTATATCAATTTTTTTCTACTAGTTGGGAGCCATCTGATTTGCTTTTTCTCTCATCGTTTTAATGGCACTAATTCTAACACTTTTGTGCCCTGTACTAGTTTGTACCGGTCCCCTAGATGCATCTATTTCATATGCTTCTGGACATAATTTAGGTTGTCCATAAATTGTTGCCTCCTGTATAACCATCACACATGCATATAAGTGAATACCAAATAATGTCAGCATTTTATTTCTTTCTGAAACTGCCTCGATATGAGTCCCTATACTACATATTAAACACGGCTTTCAAAATGCATTTCTGCATTTTTTTGCCAGATCCTACGTTGTAGAAATGTTTCAAATTTCTTGGAAATATCGTTTTTCTTGGCTTGCACGATTAGCAGGGCATATAACCCTTTATAATACTGACTTTTGACAAAATTCAACTATTCACCACAAAACAAAAATACGACCTTGACCTTCAAAGTTATTCACTACATAAAATAAAATCAACACAATTGCAACCTTTCTTCTTCTTCACGTGTGTCGCATCGGTATGTGAGGATACTTGAATTTATGATAACTTTTATGATTTTAATTTCAATTGTATGGTGTGGAAGGCAATGATAATGTGCAGGAAATGCTTAAGGCAACTAAATTATTTATTTGATAAGTCTAAATAACTTTCCAAGTACCACATTACATGTTATTTTAAACTTTGAAATGGGTGCAGCTATTCTTAAAAGATAGACATATGCCATCGCAAACCTTTTTGTAGACATGTAGTGAATTGTTTTGATATATTTCAAAGGGGTAAGTAGATAGATAGATAGATATATTTATTAGTCCTTTGTGCTACATTATGTAGATGGGACAGGTCTTAGACGTCACAATGACAGTGATCTGACATTATCATCTTCAAGTATAAATTCATCTATTGTATAGAAAGCTTTTTCTGATAGAAACACTTTCAACTGTTTTTTAAAAACTTGAGGTGACAGTGTCTTCATATCGCATGGCAGTATATTGAAGAGACGGATACAAGCAAACAGAGGAGACTATTTGTACTTGCGTGATGGTGTTTTTGGGTGATGAGCATATGGTTATAACTAGTATGATAATTATGAACTTCCGATCACTCTAGTTGTCTTCTATTTTCATGGATATACGTCAATGTTTCCAGAATTAACAAATAGGCAACAGTTAGTATCTTATTTTGACGAAAAATCTCTATATGACGTTATGTAATCAAGATTGAAAATTAGCCTCAGTAATGCTTTCTGTTTTAGAAAATTCTGTCCACCTCAGTTGCTAAACCCCAGACAGCAATGTTGTGGCAAATAAATTGATATCAGTGCTTTGTTATCTAATTTATTCTTAAGGGATTTAATGAGATTATACGATATATTCAATTTCTTGGATGTGAAGTCTACATGTTCTCGCCAAATGAAATGTGAGTCCATTATTGTTCCTAAGAATTTTGTTGGGCTTGTTAATGCCAAGGATTCATTCCGGAAAATGAAATTGAAATCATATAGGCTTCGAGATGAATTTGCAAATTCCATGCAGACATTTTTTCTCAGGTTAACTATAAGTCTATTCCTGTAACACCAGTCATTAAATCCATGTAGAACTGAGTTTACAAGGTTATGCATTTCTTCTGTTGTTTTACTTGAAAGAATAATGGAAGTGTCGTCTGCGTAAAGGTATATCGCACAATTACTTATATTATTAGGTAGATCATTCACATATAACAGAAAAATTAGTGAACCGGGTACACTGCATTGAGGTGTCCCATTTGTGACAAGGACTTTATCGGACATTATATCATTAAGTTTCACCTGGAAATATATATTTGTTACGAAAGACATCATAAGCTGATTTATGTTTCCTCGAATAACAATATTAAATAGCTTATCTGATACGAATTTAATATTCTAGGCTCTACTCAGATCAAAAAACAAACCTACCACAATGTTTTTTTATCCATTAAATCATGTCCTTTTTGTACAAAGTTGAACGTTGCACTTTCTATCGAGAGATTTTTCCTGAACCCGTCTTGGCACTTTGTCACTAGATAGAATGTTTCCAAGTAATCATTCATTCTGCCAGATATAATTTTTTCAAAAATTTAGGGGTTAGGCTTCTCTTGAATTACATCATCATATTTCAACAAATCAAACAAAACATTAATAACCTTCCTCTTGACACTCCCTGCGCTTTCGAACAAAAAGACAGACATACGAGGTGGGTAGGTTTTATAATATGCAATAATGTGTAACCACATTTTCATTACGTACACATAAAATATAAAAAATAATCTTGATTGAATGCTGATTTTGATCGCGCTTTATTTCTTCAGCCTGAGAACATCCTCTGCCTGACGAAGACGGGGAACCGGATAAAAATCATCGACTTCGGCCTCGCCAGGAAGTTCGACCCGGACAAAAAGCTGCAGGTTCTTTTTGGCACCCCAGAATTCGTTGCCCCCGAAGTCGTCAACTTTGACGAAATAGGATACGGCACCGATATGTGGTCGGTCGGCGTCATCTGTTACGTTCTGTGAGTATATTTTGTTTTTTTACCTACGCAAATCGCGAAAAATACCGACCGCTGTTTATGTTTTTCCACGTTTGATGGATATATGGAGAGTCGGATATGAATGAAGTTTCGGTGCCAGTAAAAATATTATCGCCTCACCGAGTCGTAAATAGAAAGTGACGAAAAAGGAATGCGTTACGCAGATATTTTCATCGCGTTCGGATTTTTTCAATGGACCGTATGATTTTTCTCTCCAAGTTTGCACTTTGGCAACTGGCAGTGTTCCAAAAAATGCAATCTTGGAAAGGATTCATATTTATTTTTCCACTTCACTTTTCAAGAAGACATTTCTACAGTGTTGAACACTGTAAAAGTCCTAACGGTATGGAACAAAGGATTTGGTATTGTAATGGATCGTAGTCTGATGTTGTTAAGACTTAGCTAATTAGTTTTCTAAGGCCCGTTCCAACTTCATTATTCACAATCCTTTCTGTTATCATTTCGAATCTTCTGAGTAAAGCTCTGTTTTGAATGTAGATCTTGTAGTCAACAGTTGGAAAGTTTCTCGTGATCCCAATTTTATATTTCTTTTTGTTTTTTCATCATTTAGAATGGAAATAGATCCCCAGTCCAATATCCCGTTTCATAAACCTATTTGCTTCAAAAGCTTTTTCCAAATGTTTCAATTTCTGTCCCACTAATTCAGGAATGCAAATTCCTTTTTTTCTGTATAAAAATTCCCATCGTCAGTTTTTGAAGAGTGTTTCATTGCTTCCTTGTCCTTCCCGAATTGTACTTTTGGGAAAAGGAAATGTTCCAAGTTTTGTGTACAATATTCACCACATTTGAGCCCGTAATATTTTCGACCATAGTTATAATGCTACTGGTCATCGATTTTTTTTAGTGCGTTTAAAAAAAAGCTATTTATTTCCAACAGAAGTACCCAGTTACAGAAAATGCTATTATTACAGAGTATATATGAAATAAATATCAAAAATAGTGAAATATAGTATAAAAGTAAATGCTAAAACAAAGTATATATGAAATATTCGTATGAGTAGAATTCCAAAAGAGGAATGAAAAATTGAGAATGTAACACAAAATGTTATAAATCATGCAATGTAGCAGTACTGACACAAATGTAATTTATAGTATTATCATAAGTGATTGTGGATACAAGATACCAAGGCGTTCAGAGAGTCGAAATGAATATCACAGTGTTCACAGATTTTATTGAAGCTACTGCACATAAAATTCAATGGTTATGCTACGATCACGTAGCATAACATTTGTGCGTGATGCTTCGCAATAGAATTTCAGATTGTGTGGACCTTCACTTCTTGGTACTAAGAAATTGATCTCGGGTAAAAGAACCCTATTGTCAATATTGTTGTTTAGTAATTTATGCAGGAATTTAATACCAAGGATAACTCTCCTATTTTCCAAAGATGTCATATCAAATCGTGTCAACAAAATGTTATGATCGATGCCTGTCAGTATCAGTGTAGGATTCTTCATAGAAGTTATTTCTGCGTATGCTGTTGGCTACAGCTACTGGAAACAAAATTTGGTGAAAAACTTACTTTTTTATGTCCTAAATACACTGTTATTTATTTGACTTAAAGTATTTATTTTTTCACCTTATTTTGGCTCAATATCAAAAAAGCATATTACTATAGTAAATGTTCTCAAAAAATGGAGAAAAACTCGATTTGTTTTCAATCATTATGTACAATTTCATCAAAAAAATGTGATTGCTGCAATTTTATTCAGTGAAAAAGTTTATTTATTGAATTCTCTACATTCATGTTATAGAAAATATCATAAAATATAAATATACATGTAAATCGTACTATTGAATTTAGATACTTCATTCTGATTACGTTATTAATTTGATTTGAGTCTTATAAATGATATGCAATATCGTGTTATGAACAGTTATTATAGTTATTAGATATAGATGTTATGTTTAGCATATTTCGGTACATATTTTGTTACAATTACATCTACGATAGAGTAAATTTTAGAAACACTGTCCTCAGTGTTCAACGGAAAAAATTCGCGATCCCCATCTAATGCCCCAAGTTCCCTGCGTTTTGAGACAAAGTCAGCTTTCTTTAAGTTATAAGAAGGCTTTTCTTGACATATAGGGCTTATTGAAGTAGGTAAATGTAATAATTTTATATGGAATTATATTGTGTTGTCTCTCATCCTCAGCGACGAGTGGCGTAAGGGAAGAAGTCAGATTATTAAATGCAAAATTCTTATTTAGAACTAAATCTAGAGTAATATTGGACGAATTTACATAGAAACTGAATTGGCAAAGAGCACAATACCATATTGATTCAGTGAAAAGATTAGAATTCACTTCAGTAAAGTTCAATGGAATTCAACTTTTGTTCACTTTGTTTGGATGTCATATGGTATTCTGAAGATTAAAATCCCTACAAATAACGAAAGTGTCATTGGCGTTATTATTGACAATATCAACAAGCTTATCGAAGAAAATAGTGAATCGGAGAAGTTAGGACCTGGAGGAATATAAACACTGCACAGGTTAAGTTTACTAATATTAGCTTTTGTAGGATTTACCTTGATCCATAGGTACGCTTAGGTACTCATAGGTACTCAGTCAATCGGCCGATGTGTGAGTCGATGGTTCAAGCCCCAGGCTGAACGCTCAATTTTCACTTGCTAACCCGTCCAACCCGTGTTAGAAATCACACGTTAAAAGGTGAGACCTCGTTAGCTCTTAGCTCGCACAAGTTTCGATTTCTGAGGGTTATCGTTCGTAAGGGTGCGATAGCTGGTTAACAGAAAAAACATATATTTTGAACATTTTTTTCAATGGTGGTTATCGGGTCCATAGTGGTTATCGGGTCCATAAGCCACATATGAATTATGGAATCTAGGTTTACTATAAATATCAAATGAGCATCTAATTAGCACTTTATTCTCATACCCTTACTTATCGAGGAACGTACTGTAAGAACTCAGTACATCAGTCATAGTGGTTTTCCATAGGCATTATGGAATCTAGGTTTACTATTATTTATCTAGTGATCACTTAATTAGCACTTTATTTTGATTGTCTATGTATTAATTTACGAGTATCTCAAGACTTTATTGTATATTGTTAATTTTTTTTCTCAAATCAGGTATCTCGAATTTTTTTTCACTTATTGGCGGTCGTTTTCATCTTAATTTCTTGCAAGCACCTAATTAGCACTTCATTACCACGCTTAGTTTATACCTGATAGAGCATTCGTCCTCGTTTACGAGAGACCTGATTCTTAGATCTGTTGTTTAGCGAAATTGGAAGCTTTTGTTTATTGCTTAAAAAATTGTGTGATCCTCATCGTATAGCACTTAATTAGCACCTGATAGTGTTTCCTTAACATTCATTATTTTATTATTATTTTCATTGCGTTGCTAGCATCACATACTGCTAGCAACGCAACTTTGAGTATTGAGTTACGGTGTAAGTTACAGAGCACCTAATTTTTGACTTCGTTTTTTCAAGCGTTTTCCTTAGTATTTTTTTCCATGCTATCCATTCTGCTATTTATATGTTTAATAATTGGTTCAAAATCAAGAATGTGATCACTGCAGAACTGAACGGCTATCATGACCTCTTTTGTTGTTTCTTTATATCTTGCATCTCAGTTTGTATGTTCTGAAGTATTTTCAATGTAAGTGAAAGATTTTCTGCTCCCGATTTTTCCTGTTCTTCATCTGGAATTACTATAGACGAGTTGCAAGGATCAGCTGAGGATCGGCAATCAGGACAGATCCATGCCGCGCCTGGCAAGCGGAAATTATTGAGCATCTGCTTGGTTAGTCCAACACATTTTCCATGGTAATGATGTAGACAACTGCCGCCACACATATATAGGTTTGTTCTAGTTCTAACAACCGAAACTGTTTGGAAACAGCGCTAGACATGATGCGTACAAGCAAAAAATCTCAAACGATCCGAAATAGTCTCGGACACTTGTTTAAACCAAAATTCTTTTGAGGAGACCACTGTGCCACCTATCGTATATATGAAGAGATGAAGACGAGAAAATACTATTGATCATGTCCATTTTTTTATGTAGCGTGTCCTTATATAGACAGTTCAAATGTTATCTAACCTTAATCATTAATTATTCAAATCAAATAAATGAAAAAACATCCTAGAAAATAGCCCAAACAAATTTACACATGAATGCGCATGAGCAACGGGAACAGTTCTCAACAGTTCAGCCTCGAGAGCAAGAACGATTCGGGACGGTTCAAAACAGTTTAGGATTATTTCGCAGTCGAAACCAGAATGAAAAGCAACCGATTTAACTTCGGATGGAGAAATTTCAACATGTAAACCTCTTTTCGTTTGGGAATAACTTGGGGGAGTTGAGCACATAAGAGAGATTATTTTGAAAACATCGTTATTAATTCGTCAATTTTTACCACACGGATGAATTTATTTCAACAATAATGTCCAAACTCGAGAGTCCAATTATGGGATGAATGAAATATTTTTGAAATATCTGAATAATGTGAACTGACGGGAACACTGTCTACTTTCATCTGTTATTACATAATGTGACATATTTTAATCAGATCAAGATCGCGAAATCTCCAGACCTGCATCATTTCCTTAAAAAAAACAAATCAATACAGTTCATTGTATAATTTTCACTATAAAAGGGTTTTACAAAAATCGCGACACGTGTTTCGCTATACAATAGCTTCCTCAAGCATAAACTGTTTTAAATTTTATGCTTGAGAAAGTTATTGTATAGCGAAACACGTGTCACGGTTTTTGAAAAACCCTTTTATAGTGAAAATCATACAATAAACTGTATTGATCAGTTTTTCAATATGGATTTTCATCAAGTATCTGCCAGTTCTATTCAATTATTTTGGTGAAGCTGATAATTCTGACAATGAATTGAGTAATTTGTAGAAAAAACCGTATACCTATTTGTTTGCTGAAAACGGAAAGCTGTTTACAGATGATGAGTACAAAAACATTG